GAAAACATTTTGTTAAATGAGCATAATTATATTTGGTTGTATTATAAGAGGACAATTCCCTAGTCTGTAATTTATGCCCTACCAACATTGCTTTTTTAATGAAAATATAAATTCTACTTGTTTACAGTAGCTTTATTCATAATTGCCAAAACTTGGAAGCAACCAAGATGACCTGCAGCAGGTGAATGGATAAACTGTGGTATATACAGACAATGAAATATTATTTAGCACTAAAAAGAAATGAACCACCAAGACATTACGGAACCTTAAATGCACATTCCTAAGTGAATAAATTTCTTGTTTATATTATAGAAATCTTCTAAATCTATAAAAAGAAGCCAACCTGAAAAGACTACATACTGTATAATAACATTCTTGAAAAGGCAAAACTATGGAGACAGTAAAAAGATCAATGGTTGCTGTGGGTTGTGGGGAGGGAGGAACAGGAGCACAAAGGATTTTTAGGTAGTGAAACTACAGTATCATCTTGTGATACTATGAATTATGAATGGTTGTTATTGTACACTTTTCAACATCCCTTGGAATGTACAAATCCAGTTATACTTAATGTAAACTATGGATTCAGGTGATAATGATGTGTCAATGTAGGTTCACAGATTATAACAAAGACCACTGTGGTGCCATATGCTGATAATAGGGGATACTGGACATGTGTGGGGACAGGAGATATATGGGAACTCTCTGTACTTTCACTCACTTTTACTGTGAACCTAAAACTGCTCTAAAAAAAAATAAATTCTATTTTTAAAAAAGGTTTAGTAACACTTTAGTTTTCAATATCTGTTCTGAAATTGTCTTCTTAGGGAAAGGAACGATATATACCCACATCTATAAAGAAATTATTACAATTAAATTGAATATGTAGTGTTTTTATCCTTCATTTTAAAGATAATTGAAAAAGGGAAGTGGTCTAAGTATAGCTAGAACATTTCTAAAGCTCGGTCAGAGCTTCTATTTATATAAATTCTTACATTTGGGAATGAGTCACTAGATACAGTTATGATGCACTCTTGTTAAATGTACTTAACAGTTTAAGAACAGAGTAGAATTTGACAATTAGAAAAGATACTTAGAAAATATTGGGTAATGAGACTGAGACAGAGAATTGCAGCTTCGCCCTGGTCCCAGGCTGTTTCATGGCAGGGAACAAGTTTTATGGCTGCTTCTCCATTACAAGAAGACAAAGTTGTGATAAAGTTCTTAAAATTCTGAGATGCTATTTTTTCCTTCTTCTGTTTATTTATTTCTTTAAAAGGACACGAATCCAATTAGTATATTTCTTTGGCTGATAAGCTTCACTCAAGCTCTGCCCATTTACTCATTTATTCTGCCCACTTGGTTTTTCCCAGAGATTATTTAAAAAGAAAATCATGTTTTAAGAATGAAAACAGCCAAAGGAAATATTTTACCTTGAAAGTGAATATAAAACACACATGTTTATTGCTAAGTGAAGGCCATGCTCCCCACCCCACCACTGTTTGTGAGAATTTAGACTCTTGTTCAACCTTTTAGAGGCAAAAAATCCACCCTTGATGGGAGCAGCTATGACTCTGTGAAAGAAGCTACAAATAACATGCTGGGAAATTCAGCAGGCATTGCTATTATATCCTGTTTATACTGTCATTTTTCCTATCAGTAGGATATTATTTATACAGACCCCACCCATGAACTTCTTGTTTATCTTATTATAGATATCCTCCGAATCTATAAAAAGAAGTCTCTGCATTTGTTTTTGGAACAAGCACGTGTTATAATTTTGCACCTCACTACACTTTTTAATTTAGCATTTTCTTCTGCTGTGTATCACTTTTTCTCCTTTTAAACTCAGAGTTGAGTTATTTCATACATTAGAGTTGAACTTTACTGACTTTAAGAGACTCCATTACAGGACAGAGATTCCAGACAACCACATCCTTAACTTTATTTTGGGGTAGATTCTAGCGCATAGATTCTTCTAATATACACTTAACTAATTTGTTTAAAGACAGAAAAATTACCTATGTACTGACCAAGTACCCTAGTGAGTCAATTACAAGGGCAAGTTCTCAATTACTCCATCTCTCTTCTTGAATGAAATTCCTGCCCCTGAGTGTAGCCTGATGAATGGATGGGCTGGATGAAAATGTAGCACAATAAATACATGAGGAATACATGAATTCAACAAGCTGACCATGAGACAATTAACCACCTGGTTATGAATCACCTTCATTCCCTGGCCTTATGTAAATAACTGAACTGAAGTAGATAAAAGAAAACTGTGAGTTCCTTAAGGGCAGAATTCATGCAGTATTGAACAAATAAATATTTCTGGAGAGGGAACATCACTGGACAAAGTTATACTGGATACATTTTCACACGTACAGCTGTGTTAGCTTTACCAATGCTTGTTTTATCCTACAAAGCAGCACTACAGGCAGCTTGGTAAACGTGGTATCTTCAGAGACCATGTAGGTAGGCTCTTTGGGGATGCGTAAGAAATATCACTGCTTTTAAAGAACATTACTCTAAAATGTATAACTGAAATGAGGTTTAGTATCTCCGGGTGGTGAACTAAGTCTAATTAATTTCAGAATAAAGAGAGCTCCATGTGGGCTAAAGTAACCAAAGAAGGCAGAATGAGAATAGCAACTAAGGTAAGCTTGATAAACAGCAATTGATAAGGCTGAGGTGAGAAGGTGGAAGGTATCCTACACTCCACCAATGATTTGGGAGCATCTAGGTAAGCAAAATTCTGGAAATGGCAAGTAGTGAATTCAGCTAGGGAGTATACTGAATAGAAGATGGCAATAAAAAGAAGGCTGGAGTCAAATTATAAGGAGTTTCATTTTCAGTCAAAAGAGAACCATGAAAGATATCTGATCAAGGGAAAATGAACCCAAGCTTTCAAATTATGAATGAAGAAGAGGAAGAATAAGTTGGGGTGAGGCAGAAATGGGGGAAGAAGATTTTAACAGTACCAGATCCTATAATTACCGTAGCCAAAGAAAGATCCAAGAGGTATAACAGATAATAAATGTGTAAAACCATTATCACTTCTTGCTTTCATAAACAGGAGATGGCATCATGATGACTACTACTGAGTGGGGCATTGCTAAACAATGCCAATCCATTGAAGTTAATGTCAGGAAAACATACCAATCTCCTAAAATAGTACTTCTCGAACCCAAATCACCTGGGGATCTGGTTAAAATGTAAATTCTGATTCACGTTTCGGGTGATGCTCTCTACCTTTACATTTCTAACAAGCTCTCAATACTGCTGTTCATAGACTACATTTTGAATAGCAAGATGCTAAAACATCTTTCCAAAAAGCCAATATTTGATACACCATGTTTAATCCATTATAGTTTATCTAATGCTTTTACATATGCCTAGGAAATTCCTTTTAAAGGTATTTTATTATAATTTGCATCAATGCTGTATTGGTTTCAAAAGCTATTATTTTGAAAGTCCAAGATGATTCAAGATTCAGGGTATTCAAGATACTCAGAAATATTTCCGCCTGGACAAAATCAACTTTATATAATGCTGTTCTATTGCACTATATTTTTGTTATTCTGGCAAACTATATAGAAGATGCTATTGCCTCTAATCTTGGGGCTGAAGTAAACGCCCTAAAAGACAGTACTCTACCTTTTCATAGTGCACAGCAGTGGACTTTGGTAAAACCCACTGAACATGACCTTACTGGGCCCTTACCACCACTTTTTAATCCTTGAAAATAAAGGTAACAATTTATTTTAAATATCCTACTGAAAAACACCTGAAGATTGCAAAAGTTAAATTCACACATCATCCTGCTGTTTAAGATTTCTATACAAAAAGATATGCCTTGAGCTAAAGTTTTTTTTTTTTACCATAATCAGTATCATTTATAAAGCTATATTACTAATGTAATATATTACACATGTATACACTCAGACACACACACCCATATTAAGATTGGCTGATCTTAGGTTAGATTTTTGGGACAAAATTTAAGACTTCTGAAATCTCAAGTTTCATTTTTAACCAAATTAATGGTCAATAACATTCTTTTAGGTAAACTGTCTTCAATATGCATCAATGTCTAGAGAATATACATAATATCTTAAAATTGGAAGGTACTATTGAAGATCAGATCCAATTATTTCATTATAGTGGGGAAGAAACTAAGGCACAGAGGCTAAAAGGGCCCAAGTCATGTAGCTGCTACTGGCATATTAAAAAAAAAAAGAAGGGGAGAAACAAATTACTTTTCACATCTATCAATGTACAATGCATAATCATGTATTAATGACAAAATGTAGTTAAAAGAATTTCTGGTTACTCTCATGACTAAGGCATAGTTAGGTTTTATAAATCACTGATATCAAAGAAAGAAACACTACATACCAACAGAGAAAAAAACAGGCTACCCAAATTTAATAACTATAAAAAATGCAATCTGAATAGAGAATGACACATATACACCACATACTTGGGATGGGGCTGCGGTGGGTGGGTAATGGGATGGGATATAAAAAACAAAGAGAAGACACTGGTAACTCTTATCTTCTCAGTAATGGATTGAGAAAAGCTTTCACATACAGAAAAGTGGTTTAAAAACACAATAATTTCTTAATTGGTAAAACTGAGGATTAGATTTGGAGGACTGCAAAGCTTTTAAATATATGAAATGGAGGTAGCAGTTGGATGTGCATGTGTCATGAGCCCTGTCAAAGTTACAAGAAAACCAGAGAACCCTTTTTTCGCCATAAAGTAGGGAATTTTGTGCTTTTTAGAAATGCTATTAAAATTTACTAGCACACATTAAAAAAAAATCACTGGAGAAGTTCCATGATATCGGAGACAATGGGTTTTAAATCACCGGCATATATTATCGTGCCTAAACTGACAGATCTGCACTGCAATGCAGAAATGTGAGCAATAATCCAACATCTGCATCAGAAGGCAGAGACTAGACATGATTCCAGAATAAAGGGCTCTTCAGCTCTTACCTGTTACCTGTGCAACAACTGCTTGGGAAATCCTCCGATTGGCAAGAAAGGCTTTGATTTCCTCTTTTATCACACTGCTGTCCCTCCTAACAAAAACAGAAGACAAGACCAACAATGTATGTTGAAGGTAGAAATCCTCATCTTTGCTAAGAAAGGTGAAGCAGAGAGGTGGGGAGAACATAGAGAGAAAGGACACAAAAATAAAGGTAAACAGACTAAACCTGTATGAAACATGAAATTAAAAGAAACCAAGAAACACCAATATTCAAGTTCTAAAACACCACACCATTAGACGGACGCTTTAGTGAATGCCACAGTAGATACGAGTTTCATACCAGAGGATGGCTAATCTTATGCTGTGAATAATTCACATTAGGAACAAAGGCTGCCACATGGTATATATAAAGTTTCATTACTGTGGGATGAATACATCTTACACAGACAGAAATCCTAGAAAAATAAAAAGCAACAAGGACAAAAATCAGTTGTGAGTAGATTGTGGGTTCCTGTGTTAACTATGCAACTGCATAAATAAGATGCAGTTCATTTTAAAATCTGTGTTAATAGAAATCATCATTCTCTCAACTGCTAAAATATTAGCCACTTTAAGAAAGGCTTTGCCTTTTAATTTGCCTTCTTTTCCTGTATATAAAAAAAATTTAAGTGGGGTTACATATAGAATTTTAATATAAAAAGGCACTTAATTTCCTATTACATGTATTATACAGAATACCTAATACTTAAACCTACATTATTTTCTGCATCCTTGGGATCACAAATTATAGACCTGATTTTTCCTCCACTAAGATTCCTTAATGATTTTTACTTATTTAAAAATTCAACAAATTCTTAAAAGACTAGACATTCACTAGAATGACAATAAATGGCAAGATTTCTGTTTCTCCACCAGAACAAACAGAATACGTAAAATTATACTTAAACTTACCAATTGTTCTTTGAATGTTTTATGTACAAGAAGATTATATAAATAGAACACTAATTTTTGTTGATGCCCTAAAGTAACAGAGAGTAGTGGTAACTTATCATCTAATACAGTGGTTAGCAAACTATGGTCCTGGGCTAAATCTAGCCTCCCACCTAAAAGTGGTATTCACAGATGAAAATTTGCAATTGACTTAATGGCAGGAAAACACTATCTTCAAACACTAATTAAAGCAAAATATCATCCCCTCCCCAATTCTATTTTTCTCACTAGTAGGCTTTGATTTTTAAAATGTATTTAATTATTATTCTATATTGAGTTTTGTTAATAAAAATGTGTGCCCAGCCCTGGCTGGTTTGGCTCAGTGGATAGAGTGTTGGCCTGTGGACTGAAGGGTCCCGAGTTCGATTCTGGTCAAGGGCACATGCCTGGGTTTCGGGCTCGGTCCCCAGTGGGGGGCGTGCGGGAGGCAGCTGATCAATAATACTCTCTCATCATTGATGTTTCTATCTCTCTCTCTCTCCATCTCCCTTCCTCTCTGAAATCAATAAAAATATATTTTAAAAAAATAAAAATAAAAATGTGTGCCCATTTGATTTCTCTCTTGTGTATAAATTACCTATATTATATCCTCAATTTTGCCTCTGGTCCACTAAGTCTAAATGTTTACCATCTAGCCCTTACAAAAAGCTTCCTGACTCTTGAACTGAGACAAAGGGATCATGAAATCTTTACAAATCATTTTATGAATGAACCACAAACGCTTCTTAAGAGTTCAAGTCCTTGGGGGTGGGGTGAGATCAATGGGGGAAAAAGGAGACTTATGTAATACTTTAAATAATAAAGAATTTAAATTTTTTAAAAAGAAGAGTTCAAGTTTTTCTACAGATTATGTGGAGAAACAAAAGTACCCTTTCCAAAAGGAATCAGCTGTGACTTAATTTACAGCAGATGTTTTAGACCCTTGGTGAAGAGGGGCTATACACTCTATTAGCGGATTCCATGCTCCCTTTTCAGGAATTCTGGAAAAGAACAGAGAGATGACAGTAGAAACAGCTTCTAATCTGGAACTCTACCGCACATTCCTAATCTACCAGTTGGAAATCCTAATAAAAAAAAATTCCTAAAGGGAGGAAATAGAGAGTCAGCTGGCTAATCAAACACCCAAAATTTCTCAGACTGATCTAGATAATGGCTAGACTCCTTCCAAAATGCTTGCTATATATTTGAAATAGTTCCTTGCCAAATATGCATTCTCATTTTATTTTAAAATTGTGAATGTGACAAAAAAGGCACAAATAAGCCAAACAAAAACTGCTGAGTAAAATACAAGTAACGTAGACTAAACAAGCTGTCAAATATCCATCAGTAATCAGCTGAGCAAGAGATAACTTCAGCAGTATCTATTTCAACTGGCTGATATATGTAAAACAACCAAATCATTTGGTTTCTGCAGAATTAATGTGAAAAAATGTAAATAAAGCACTGTATTTCAATGTGTAGTGTCCTTCTTGGAAAATAAAACTTGAGTTTAAGAAAATATTTATTAGGGTAAATTTTAAAAATGTGCTTTTGTGAGGGAAAAAGAGTATTTTCTTGGCCACTGATTTAAACTGGAATTTAAATCAATTTATTTTAAATCTAATTAACCTAGAGTAGACACTAAATCATAGAGTAGAGATAATACTTAATTATTCTAATGGGGAATATCCAGTTTGTGACATATTCACAGTCTTACAGTATGATATTATTAAGAACGGCAGCAAGACAGCAGCCATTCACTTACACTCTCATAAACTATACTTTTAGATACTTGGCAAGTTTATAAGTACCCACAATGAGTCTTAAAAATCTCTTAACTGCTTTACCAGAGAGAATCTTTTTGAAATGAAAAATAAATTTAAGACTTGAAAGGTAAGGGCGCACTTGGGTAAGTCATTTAATAAACCTTGGCCCTGGTTTCATCATCTGGCAAAAATAGAACACTGATACACCTGTCACAAAGCTTTTACTATTTTTCTCCAAGCACTGAAATTAAAATTAAATGAACTTTAATACTCAATGTGCATATAACAAAAAATTTTTCAATGTAAACATTTTGAAACTATAAACATAGTACATGAACAATGACTATTATTTTATAAAACCTCAGAAAGAATTCCAGGAAAAGAAGAAATGATCAGCTATAACTATTTAAGATTGAATTAAACATCTGTATTAGGTACTTTAAGGCACTGTATAAAGATTTCTAGAAAGTCACTTTAGATATAAGCAGTGATGTGGTATTCAGTTAGTTTTACTTGGTTCCTTCAAAATAGCACAGCATTCAACTTTCTTTGTGTTCAATTCTTTTAAGTATTTCAAAGACTTCCACTCTTTTAGGGTGCCTCTGTTATTTAAACTTTCACATATTCCCCCCTCATTCTCTCCTCATTCAGCCTTTAACAACCTCCCTCTCCTACTGTACACATTGTACCCTGTGAAATCAAGTTTCTTGGTGTAAAAACTTTTGTTACTCCAATTCTAACTCTCTCATTTTCTCCCCAGTGATGGTGAACCTTTTGAGCTCGGCATGTCAGCATTTTGAAAAACCCTAACTTAACTCTGGTGCCGAGTCACAAATAGAAATTTTTTGATATTTGCAACCATAGTAAAACAAAGATTTATATTTTTGATATTTATTATATATTTAAATGCCATTTAAGAAAGAAAAATCAACCAAAAAAATGAGTTCGCGTGTCACCTCTGACATGTATGTCATAGGTTCGCCATCAATGTCTACTCCTTACTTTCTCTCTTCATCTGAAATTTGACATTCTCTTTAAAGAGAATGAATCCCTTTTCCTCCCTTGTGTTATACAATCTCACACTCTTCATGATTTTTACTCCTCAGGTCTTATGTAAATAAAGTCATATGTAGGCTGATCTTTCTTTGATTCCATAGATTACTTCCAAAAGAAGCTACCACTCAATTTGCATCTAACCACTTGAAGTCCGTGTCATCTCCTCCTACTGCCTTTTCCAAACACAGCCATGCTGGATTCACCTATCTGAGTAATTTCCACATGTGGGATGAAATTCTTCCTTTCCATCCTCCATTGCCATTATTTTTATAACTTGCTAAACTTTCCATTGTGATCTAGAGACATTAATATCTAAATGAACTAATCAGTAATGCCTCTTTTTGAAATCACCCTTTTTAAAGACACAATTTGATTGTCATCTATTCAGAGTTCTCCCTGATCCTCAGAGCTAAAAAAGATATTTTCTTCCAAAAGCATGTTATTATTTCAATTATACTACCCATATGCTAATATGTTACATGCTATTCTGTATTACAGTTGTTTATAACCCTGCCTTCTCTCTCTTACTAGCCAAAAAAGTCCTTTAGCACAAAGATTGTCTTATTCATCATAGGGTTTGCAGATAAGAGAGTTTAATTTGTTCAGTGAATGAACAAGTCTATAGTTGGAGATAAAAGGTTATAAAATAGAAAACCTGATCTAGATCATTTATAAAAGTTTTAAAATCTTAGTCTTAAATATGTTTCAACTTCCAAACCAGAATGGAGAAAAAGAGTTATTTATTCTAGCTCAAAATGACAATAATTTCTTTTCTAGGACAAAGAATATTAAAGAATGCATATTTAAAAGTGGAATGCTTTGAGATCTTCCATTGTCTCGTTTGATAAACACTACACATTCTTTAGCCCCTCCCCCTCTTAAAAGTGGTCTTTTAAAAATTTCTTATTGAATTTTTTTTCAATTTTGGGGGGGTGACACTGATTAATATCATAGGCAGTCTTTTATCTCAAAGATTTCCAGAGATGGAAGACAGACTATTTCAAAGATGGAAAATATAATTACATACAAATTCTTTCACATTTAAATAAAACCCACTCCTTTTAATTTCCACTCATGGAGATAAACAAAACATAACTTTAAAATGTATTAAAGATAACTTTAAAAGAAAAGCTACTCTATATGTATAAACAATATGGTAACTGAGTATTATTACTTATGGATCATAAGTACCTTACCTACACAAGTATATAGCCTATTGTTAGGGGTATAGGTAACCAACTCGGAATAAAGTCTTGGAATCTTGCATAAAATGCTAACATACATTATTATAACACTAAACTCATTTCAATTGTTACTTTATAATATATATACAACAGAACAGATACTTTAATAGATGTATACTATGATATTTGCATATATATATATCTACATATTAATATATATATTAATAGATGCATTTAAAAAATATTAATGTGAAATGGGTCATCATTCTAAAGTTAAGAGCTTTAAAGTCTTTCCTAAAATGTTATATTCAGCGATCTATTGAGAATTCATATTCTAGTTTCCCATTCAGGTTTTTTACCCTGATCAATTAAAAAATGAAAAAAAATAACAGTTACTTTTTTTTATTGTTTCTTAACAAGTTGATCAGGCTTTGTTAAAATTTAATCAATTTCTACAAAAAATTTTCTTTATGTATCTTGAAATTACTAAAAGTTAAGTTGTGTGGACACATGGGTTATGAAATCTGAAAAATACATCTTATAATTGAGTGCTATAGAAGTTGGGAAATGTGAGTATGCAAGAGATGAATTACTAATATACAGGGTGGGGCAAAAGTAGGTTTACAGTTGTTTGTATGGAAAATAGAATGATTAATAAATAATAATATAAGAATAAACTGTATTTTGCATACTCACAACTGTAAACCTAATTTTATCCAATGCTGTATATGATATACTAGTATGTAGAAATGGAGGCAGGAAGGCATTCAGGTACCAAGTAACTATTCTCCCCACCTAGAGACCACCAAATTCAATACACTAAAATATGACCATGGTGTTGTGCAATCAGCAAGGGCAGTGTAGCCCTAAATGAGCACATGACACTCAGAAAGATCCGCTGTTCAAAAATTTCTCTAACATTCTACCAAATAAAAATTCATTTGTTTAGTAAGTGGCAAATATCATGGGAGTTGGGAAGGGGGACTTAGCCCATTAAGGCATTCGCACTTGGTCTTAAATTACATTAGCCACTGTTCCTAAAATCTTATTGATATCGACAGACATCAAAAAGTTATTTACAGAGGCAACAGACAAAAGTGGTACATTGGTAATAAAGACATGAGTTAGAATTCAGACTCTGCCACTTAAAATTTACCATGTTCTTGATCCAATTATTTAATTTTGTGAATCTCAATTTCTCTGCTCCATCTCACAGCATGGTTGTAATGATTAAACTGAGAACAGACATGCAATAAACTTCTTCCTCCAACCTAATAACTGTTATTATCTGTAAACTTAAGAAAAATGAGCAGTGGGCACAAAAGAGGAATGTAGGCGTGGGAGGGCACAATGGCAGAGGACCACAGAGAACCAGAAGGTCAATGAAATCCCTGGATGATTAGGGGACACCAAAGTAGTAGTTGTAAGAAATTGAAGCAGAGATAATGAAGAAAATAAAGTGTCCTAACTATGCAACAAAATGATAACATGTAAATTAAATGCTGATAACAATATATAAACATGTATATAATTAGTGATGAAACTTGAATGTATGTAATTGCAGGATGTAAGTACACATCTTAGTCATTGCTAAATAGATTTTCTGTTTATTTTGAAGACATACTTGAATTACAGTAAAATGTCAACCTACAAGCTAATAGTCAAGTTTTAGATCCTGGCCAATCTTCCAAAGCCTTCTGTTAAAAAGAAAGTTTTCCCAAACTTCTTGTTAGTCTTATGGGAATTAACTGCCTTAACACCAACCAAATTAACCACTAACTATTTATATGGAACTCAAATCTTCCAGAACCTGTACTGCCAAATATACTACTCTTATTACATAGTCTAGCCCACCTGTAATCCTTTTAAGACAAAACACACCTTGCCTATTCTACCATTAACTATTCCTTTACCTTTAAATAAGGTTGTTATATTTCAAAAGAGAGGCTATCTTTTAAGGTTTTGCTCAAATTCATCATCCACTTAACAGATTATGCCCTCACCATGTACCAAGGACAGTTCAGATCCTAGAGACACAACAGTAGAAAACACATGATTGCTGCCCTCCAAGTGTCCCAGGTCCAGTGTGAAACCATTTCTACCTGCCTCTGTTGAAAGTAAACTTCTTCTTTTCTCAGTGTTTAAAACCCTAAGACTTAGGGCCTAAGTGCTTTAACTTATCTTACAATAGATAACATTAAACATATATATGTGGCACCTATTGCTAAAATTAGAACTTTAGCTTCTTAGGAGTAAAAACTGTATCTTTTTCTTCCAAAGAACACTACTTTTTATATAATAGGAGCTTAAAATTATTGTTTGAGTTACTGGAGGGAAAACTCGAAACTGGATATATTCTGTATCATGATAAAATCACCTTATCCCTCAGAAAAAGTACTTACAATAAATTTAAGGAATAGAAAGTGTCTGTTAGCAATGCTGAAAATCCAGATGTTAGTAATTACAACCATAAAGAGAAGGCTAACCTTTGCTTTGACAGAGAGAATGGAAAACACTTATCAAGCAGCAAAGTGATAGGGCTAAAGTTGAAAAGAGAAAATTTGAATTAAAACATAAAATTTAAAATTTTTCTTTAATCTCCAAAGTGGGCAAGGGGAAATCACAGTTCTTATAGGTAAGTAGCTGAAATACAGTTTATTATTTAAAATCAATATAAGAACAGACATTTTGGGGACTCTGAATAAGCAAAGGAACCAACCTCATTAATTCCTCCACTTTATCATCTACATCTAGGTCCTCTTCTGAGGCTTCAAAACTGTATGACCTCTGGCCAATGCTGTTTACATGGTAGCGAGTCGGTGACATCTTTCCATTGGATGTGGACAATCGCTCATTATTCTCCCTCCCATTTTGATTGGTAGTGCAAGGCTGTGGGGAGGTATCATAACTGTTGCTAGGCGATGGGGACATTCCTGAATGCTGGGTCTGTGTGGAAGCTGTAGCTGTAGAGGAAGATGCTGGAACATTGTTGGTACTATTCCCATATGAACTTCCTCCATAGCTGGACCTTCTTCCAAACTTGTCACTATGCTCTTGATCAAGACGGTCCAAAGTTTCCAAGGCATGGAGGATTTCATGTTTAGTCATTCCAGTACGCCGAAGGCGCTGAAGCAGATCTATCTGTTCTATGGTAAATCTGGGTTCATCTGTATAGTGAGACATGGTTTCCAACAAACTGAAAAAATAAAAATAAAAAAATCAGTCCCTTTATTTACAATATCTATTAAAAAATCATTATAGAGAATGCCCAGAAGATGCTGTGCTTCTTCACTGAAAATGTTTAAGACATTACTATTATAATGACCCAAAATTTCCATTATGGCAGTAATACCAAAACAACAGATTAAGTAAATACACTATTAAATCCAGGCTATGTAATTACTCATAGGTGTTTTTCCATCAAGTATACTATTCTGCATTAGAGTATTAATAGAAAGTTGCTGAAAAATAGATGTATGCTCTTGTTTTGCTAAATATCAACAAAACTGACCTAGGAACTCTCTAAATTCATTTACTGTAAACAAACTATTTGATATGCTAAACTCAAGCAAATACTAATAACCAGCAAAAATACTAACATAGAAAAGTAAGAGAGATACCTAAAAAAAAACTAAGCACCATTTTACCCACTATATAGTAATTTCATATTTTATCTCTGTAATGCATTCTGTTGATATCCTGAGAAATGGATCGTTCATGGTTATAGCCAAACTGAACTATTCATTTTTCTCAGGAAATTGCTCCTACATTATGTTTTCTTTAACTAACACAAGATACTGTAGCCCATCAGAAAATGTTTCAGAGTTAATAACAATATAGTCATGTGCCACAGCACTGGTCAACAATGGACCATATATACAATAGTATCCCAGAAGATTATCACCTACTGACATCGTAGCCATGGTAATAGCCTTTGTAATGTTGTGAAGCAATGCATTACTCCTGTGTTTGTGGTGATGCTGTGCAAACAAACCTACTGCACTGCCAGTCGTATAAAAATGTAGCGATACAACTATGTACAGTAGATAATGCCTGATAATGATGATAAACAACCATGTTACTGAGTTGTGTATTTACTATATTTTATTATTTTATCATTATTTTAGAGCATACTCTTTCTACTGATAAAAAAAAGAATGTTTGCTGTAAACAGTATGCAGTATTACCACAGCAGCAGCTTCATACATCTCATGTTTACAGTGTTTCTTGAATGCATCATTTTCTCTTGTGCTGTTTGTACAGTAATATGCTGTACAGGCTTGTAACCTAGGAGTAATAAGCTATCCCATACAGCCTAGGTGTATAGTAGGCTATACCATCTAGGTTTGTGTAAGTTCATTCTACAATATTCACATAACAATGAAATCGCCTAACAGCAAATTTCTCAGAATGTATCTCCATAATTGGCGCATGACTTTTACAAGTTCAAGAGAGTTGTTAAGTATCATCAAAAAAAAACAAACACAAAAAACACCAAACCGCGACTTTTTAACATTTTTTAAAGTGGTAATTTCTTCTATTTTTATTTTTATAGTTCTAGTGCCAAATTGTATACACAGGCTCTCAACTAAGTGTTTGCTGATATAAATAAATGTCAAGACATTTTCTCATCCTTTCCAGGTAAACATACACTCTGGGCCAGGTCCACTAAGCCACTGGAGATATTCCTTCAACCCTCTACATTAAAAAATTTTTTTAAAATTTATTTTATTGATTTTTTACAGAGAGAAAGGGAGAGAGATAGAGAGTTAGAAACATCGATGAGAGAGAACCATCGATCAGCTGCCTCTTGCACACCTCTTACTGGGAATGTGTCCGCAACCAAGGTACATGCCCTTGACCGGAATCGAACCTGGGACCTTTCAGTCCGCAGGCCGACGCTCTATCCACTGAGCCAAACCGGTTAGGGCTTAAAAATTTTTTAAATATTCACATCTAAGAAGGCAATGAGCAAGAATTTCATATAATGTAATCTCACTTAATCCTCACAACAACCTTCTGTGATAGATTTTTTATTTTATTGTATAGCGACTGATTAATTATTGAGGAAACTAAGGCTCAAAATGATTTGGAACCTTGTAAAAAGTCTGATTAAGAAGCAGAAGAAAGATTTAAACCTAGATCTTACTGACTCCAATATCATACGTCATTCTGCTTTCCAATATAGGCACTTACTGGAATCATGATTTGGGATTTGGTTACTGTACTCTTTTAAGTCTCCAATTAAAACCACTTAGATAAAACTGCTCTACTAACAGACTAGGGGTTCTAGTAAGTTTTTTATATTTAAAATCTTTGCTTCATCTAGAATTTATATTTACTTAATTAATGTGAATGGATTTGAGCTTTATTTTTCCCCCAAAAAAGGATAGCTGGTTGTCCAATATGCTTTACTGAGTAATATGTTTCTTTTCTTGTAACATATTACTTATTTTTTATATACAAAATTTCCACACAAACTGTACCTAACTTTTAGATTCTCTATTCTATTACATTATTTTGTCTTTCAAATACTTCTAAAAATAAGCAGGCAGAAATCTAGAATTTTTAAGTGAAATCATTCTAGTTTTAGAGATAGGCTCATTAAGATTAAAAACACACATATTTTGTGGATTCAAAAGAACATGTTTCAGGGCATTTGTGACCATAGCCACAGTATCTGCTTTATACCTATATACATTATCTTATGCATTCTTGAATAATCATAAAAGTCCTTATTTTCATGATTATTATTCTTTTGTGATAGTCTAGGTTTTTTCCTCCAGCCAGCCTATATAATAGAGGTAATATGCAAATTGACCATTACTCCAACACACAAGATGGCCGTCCCCATGTGGTCAAAGATGGCCAGCAGGGGAGGGCAGCTGTGGGCAATCAGGCCAGCAGGGGAGGGCAGTTATGGGCAACCAGGCCTGCAGGGGAAGGCAGTTGGGAGGGACCAGGCCTGAAAAGGAAGGCAGTTGGGGGCGATCAGGCCTGCAGGGGAGGGCAGTTAGGGGAAACCAGGCCAGCAGAGGAGGGCAGTTAGGGGTGACCAGGCCAGCAGGGGAGGGCAGTTAGGGGTGACCCAGCCTGCAGGGGAGGGCAGTTGGGAGCGACCAGGCCAGCAGAGGAGGGCAGTTAGGGGTGACTGAGCTGGCAGGGCAGTTAGGGGCAACCCGGTCTGCAGGGCAGTTAGGGGCGACTCGGTCTGCAGGGGAGGGGAGTTGGGGGGGACCAGGCCTGCAGGGGAGGACAGTTCGGGGGGACCACGCCTGCAGGGGAGGGCAGTTAGGGGCAACCGGGCCAGCAGGGGAGGGCAGTTAGGGGCAATTGGGCCGGCAGGGGAGCAGTTAGGCGTCGATCAGGCTGGCAGGGGAGTGGTTAGGGGGTGATCAGGCTGGCAGGCAGAAGCGGTTAGGGGCAATCAGGCAGGCAAGCAGTTGAGCAGTTGGGAGCCAGCAGTCCCGGATTGTGAGAGGGATGTCTGCCTGCTAGACATCCCTCGAGGGGTCCCAGCACCGGGCCTCTAATTTTATAATAAAAAATTATAAACATACAGACAAGTTTAAATATATTTATAGTGACCCTATACACTAACCACTTAGATTTTACTATTAACACTTTACTTTCTTTATCATATATCCATCCATTCCCTTATGCATCCATCCCTCTACTCATCTTATTTCTTTATGCATTTCAAAATCAATTCTAGACATCTGTACACTTCTCCCCTAAATACTTCCACATGCAAATCATTGACTAGAGCTCAGTATTTGTTCAGGTTTTATTTATTTTGAGGTCAACTTTTCATAAAAAAACACACAAATCTATGTTTACCTTTCTATGAGTTTTGAGAAGAAGGCACACATGTGAAATTCAAATCCCTACGGAAATACAGCATGCTGCCATCACTCCACGAAGTTCCCTCATTTCTTCCCTTTCCCTCAGTGGCAACCACTATTCAGGTTTTTTCCCCACCATGAATTATTTTGGTCTGTTCTAGAAAACCATATAAATGGAATTTCTATGTACACTTTAATGTAAGGTTTCTTTCACTGAGCATAAAGTTTTTGAGATTCACCTATAATGTTGTATGTATCAATAGTTTGTTCCCTTTTTATTTCTGAGTAGTACTTCATTCTAGGAATATACACAGGTTTGTTTATCCACTCTATTTTAGACACTTGGACTATTTCCAATTACTATCTATTCTAAATGCTTTGCCTATTATAATTATTCTCTACTAATTTTCGTGTTAACTTAATATATCCCCCTCTAATATATCATTACCTACCTGGTTGGGTGAGAAGAGAAAACTTTCAACCAGAGTAACTCATTTACTTTTTCTACTGACCAATTTCAAAAGAATATTACACCTTGCTTAAAACAAATAATAGGTTATTAAAATGCTCTGTGTTCTATGCTAGTTACATTACACGGTGTATTCACTGTGAAACTTCACCAAGTTGCACACTACTGATTTGTGCATTTTTCAATAGATATGTTATACTTAAAGTCTGTTGAAAAACTATATGAACATTTTCCTAGTGGTTTATAAGAGACACTTAACACTTTAGTTTCTATCAAGTGCTTATTAGTACAGTAGTACTCCTTTATCCATGGTTTTGCTTTCTGCTGGTTCAGTTACCCATGATCAACTAAGGTCCCAAAATATTAAAGGAAAAATACCATAAATAAATAATTCATAAGTTTAACCTGTGTGTCGTTCTAAGTAGCATGATGAAATCTTGCACAATCCTGCCCATCCTGCCTGGGACGTGAATCATCTCTTTGCCAGAGTCCATACTTAAAGGCTACCAGGCCACCCACTCATTAGTCACTTAGTATCCAGTTAATAACTCTGACTATCAGGTATCTCAGTGCTTGTGTTCAAGAAACATTTTACTTACTATAGGTCCCAAAGTGCAAGAGTAGTGATGCTGACAATTGGGAGATATCAAAAAGAAGCTGTAAAGTGCTTTCTTGAAGTGAAAAGTTCTCAGCTTAGTAAACTGAGGTTGCTAAGATCTAGGATAACAATAAAAATTCTATCAGTGAAATTGAGAAGGTAAAAGGAATTTGTGCTTATCTGCTAAGAGACTACGTTCACATAACTTTATTATATTGTTACAATTGTTCTATTTTATTGTTTGTTACTGTTGTTAATCTATTACTGTGCCTAATTTATAAATTGAACTTTTTTATAAGTATGTATGTATAGGAAAAAAACATAGTATATGTAGTGTTCAGTACTATCTGTGGTTTCCAGCACCCACTGGGAATTTTGGAACATATTCTCTGTGGATAAAGGGGGAATACTGTTTATTAATCCTTAATTCTAGTTAGTTATTTTTAAAAGTAGCTGCCGAATCCCTTTAGTAATCCAAATAATATACCTCATAATTTGTTAATTTGGTAAACTGAGGTTTCTATACATTATTCTCTTCCCTTAAAAATGACTTCAGCCGTCATGCTTTTAAAATACTTCATAAGCTGGCATGCCCTTACTTTAACTATGAGACTTTGAGAACTGTTTTTATTATATGGACCAAAAAAACACACCACCCTCCCCCCCAGAAAAATCATAATATTGAAAGAGACCAAAGTTTTGTCACCCCAAAATGTACCTTTTGGGATACTGATTTTAAGCTGATTATAAAGAAACAAAGACACTAAGAGAACCTTTGACCCTCCCCATTTCCTGCCTAAGGGAAGTCAGATAGAAAGTCCTGCTTCAAGAAGGGAATCTTTACACACATACTTTAGAACAGCGGTTTTCAACCTGTGGGTCGCGACCCCTTTGGCGGTCAAATGACCCTTTCACAGGGGTCGCCTAAGACCATCCTGCGTATCAGATATTTACATTACGATTCATAACAGTAGCAACATTACAGTTATGAAGTAGCAACAAAAATAATTTTATGGTTGGGTCACAACATGAGGAACTGTATTTAAAGGGCCAGAAGGTTGAGAACCACTGCTTTAGAATTTTCACCTTAGAATAATATGAATTAAATATGGTTGACATGCAAAAACCTGTTCTGCTGGATTCTCCCCTCAGTCCCATTGTTTTTGGGTTGCCTGGTAGGAATCTGTTTGCCATGTGTTCCACTCTCTTGGCTACCTATGAATTGCCTATTTCCCTTCTAAATCTCAGACCCATGCCCCTTTCTCCTTCCAAAATGGCAGGCATATAAACCTCAATTGCTGAATGCCTCTTTGGGTCACATTATGACACTCCGAATGTACATTTGTTTAACAAACTTTGAACATTGTGTCCTGTTATTCTGTCTCTGTTAATTTTATTATTAGCCCAGCTAGAAGAATTTAGAAGATGTGAGGAAAAATTATTTTTACAGCCCCACAATACTTTCCTATCTTATTTATGTCAGAACAGATAGTAATATGTATAACTCTTCATATTTCTCTGTATAGAGCAGCACTTTATATTAGCATGAAAGTAAAATAAAGTGAAAGGGCGATGGCTACGCCCTCCATCTTGCCCCAGATCCTCCATTTTTGGGCAGCAGCCATAGCCATGTGCTCAGCAAGGAGCTTCTTCCCGGAAGCCCAAGCCTCTGCTAGCCACACCTAGGATTTCCTTAAATGAACCAATGATAATCAAGGGAAGTGCGCGCCATAGATACGACCACATCCTGTGTAACAAGACACCGACTTGCGCCTGGCCAATCGGCAGGGCCCACAGTCCTCTCTCCTCCCCTTACTCCAACCCCCCTATAAAACCCTGCTCCACACAAAGCTCCCTCTCTCTGCCCCCTGCCACTGCGTCGGCAAGTGTGGTGGACGGGGAGCCCGAACTAGCTCGAATAAAGACTCTTATGCTTTTGCATTGGACACGGCTGGCTCCCTGGTGGTCTCTTGGGGATCCTGAAATCTGGGCATAACATAAAGTATATGAATTTAATCTGGAACTAAAAAGTATCCATCCTAAAGCTGGTATTAGAACTGAAGATTCCACAGTATCTGAAACAATGTAATATTTTATGTCATTTCAGATTCACTGGCGATGGGACACACTTTTATTCCAAGAGTCATAAAAGGAGGTAACAGAAAGGACCCATTAATTTTGTCTGCCTAGAATGCCTCATTGTTTCCAACCACATGTTCTTGGGACTGCCACTCATAATACTCTCTCTACTTCCTGGCCAGTGGGGTGGACACACAGAAAGCCAAGCCTAGCTCTCTTCAAAATATTTAAGGTAGATTAGCAGACAGTCACTATAACTACGTCCAGTTTCAGGAAGATGTTAATCTGGTACATTCCTCATTATGTGGAAGAATCTAGACATGCAGAGTAAAGAAGAAAGCTTTGCAGTGTTCATGTCCCTTGTTCTAGTAATTTCTAAGCCTCTGCTACATTCCTGCTCTTCTTGTTGTATTAATATGTAAGAGAATAAATTTCCTTTTATGCTTCACCTTGTTTAAATCAGATGTCTGTGCCTTGCACCAAGAGAGATCCCCAATACCAAAAGCTACATCGAAAGTAAAAAGATCTACAATTGCTAGAATGGAATGTGTGATCACTATCGAGTAGAATGATAATGGCATAACGGGCAGGATCAAGTCATACATATGACACTGGAGGTACAATATTTTACTGAGAAAATGCCAAGAATAGAAGCTTTCTTGGATACTGACAATAATATACCGATGTGCATTATTATAAACAAAAGCACACATTCTGTAATTTCCAAATTTTCATTCTCATAATTTACTTACTTTTAGCACATAATCATGCAATTACGGCAGTAAATGACCTACAAAGGTCATCTAAGTCCATGACACCAGCAATTCTTTCATAACAGAAAAAGATAACATATAAGAACAGAATTAATTTTCATATGTAGCACAAGGACTGTTCACAGGATGAGGAAGATTTTTCTGCTTTAAATTACTAATCTGAATGCAGACTCAGGCCAACAATAATTGAAAATGTGAGAGAAGAATTTCGACACTGCAATAATACAGAGCATAAAATAACAATTAAATTCAGGAATTGTGGCTCGTTCTGAAAGACCATACTATCAGATCATAATAGTAAACCTATTTTACAATAAATTTTATCCTTACTTAGATATGTATGTAAACACTTCTTGGAGATAGCATGAAGTCCAGAACACTTTCTTAAACTAAATTCTACACACACGTGGAGCAAAAAAGGTGAAAGTACTCACAAATAATTAATCTTGAAAGCATGTGCATAAAAAATGACATTACTTCCTTACGTGTAATTCATCAACACTTAATGATACTTTATTGCATAACACAAAAATTTTTTCCAGCTTGATTCTGTTGTCTTTATCTTTTTATCCAGAATGAGTAGGCAAAAGTTGGTCTAGTCATAAGTTAGCTTTGTATTGATTACATGGTATTTACTGCATGATAATTTAACACATTCTAGAGTCAATCATAATATTCATCAACTAAAGATGTATTCAAACCCTTCTTACTAGGTGTATCGGTTAATAATGTGAATTTTGTAATCAAAGAAAACATGATAATTTCAAGAGAAACATCAAAAATGCTTTATTCAAAGTAATGTCCATTGCTAGCTACACATTTCCCCCATCTCTCAGGTAATTTGTGGATACAGTCCCAATAGAACTTCTCTTGTTTTGAGGCAAACTATTCAGAGACCCAATTTTCCACTTCTTCGTACGTTTTGAAGTGCTGCTCAAAAAGTGCTTGTGCCATTGATCGGGACAAGTGGTAATCTGAAGGAGCAAGGTCTGGTGAATACAGCGGGTGGGTTAATACTTCCCAGGCAAGATCTTTTAATGCATCTTTAACTGGTTTTGAAGTGTGTGATGGTGCATTATCATGAAGCAAAATTACTTTGCCATGTCTTCTGGCACATTCTGGCCATTTCACGATCAAAGCGTGGTTCAAATTGTTTGTTGATTTTCGGTGGCGATCAGTGTTAACAGTTTCACCTGGTTTTAGAAGCTCATAATACACCACACCTTCCTGATCCCACCAAACACACAGCACTGTCTTCTTTCCAAAGCGACTTGGCCTTGCAGTTGATGTTGATGGTTGACCTGGATCAACCCATGATTTTGTGCATTTGGGATTCTCAAAATTAAATCCACATTTCATCGTCAGTCACAATTCGATGCAAAAAAGACTTTCTTTCGTGCTGTTGAAGCAACATTTTACTGATGACTTTTCGGGTTTCCATTTGTCTTTTGTTCAGTTAATGTGGCACCCATTTTCCTTCCTTTAAAATCTTTCCCATTGCTTGTAAATGATCGGAAATTGTTTGCTGAGCAACGTTTAATCTTTCTGCAAGTTGTTTTTGAGTTTGACATGCATCTTCACACAATAATTTTTGTAATTGCTGGTCTTCAAACTTTTTCGGTTGACCTGGACGTTCTTTGTCTTTCACATTGAAATCATCACTTTTAAAACGTTTAAACCAGCGTTCACAAGTATCTTGAGATGGAGTATGTTCACCATAAGCTTCCTGAAGTATTCAGCAGCACTTTTCTTCAAAATAAAGTAATGAATTAAAACTTCCCGCAAATGCTTTTTTTGGCACGAAATTCGACATTTTTAAGCGTAAAAATATCTATGATGTTAACACCTTCAGAAAATTTGACATACGAAGTTTTGATGCTTGTTGTCCATACAACAAAATAGCATACATATCAAATCGCATATATATCAACATATGTGTAACTCCATCTATTGAAAAAAATCCGCATTATTAACTGGTTCACCTAGTATTTATAGCATTCTTACATTATCCTCTTTCACAATTAATACTAAGCATCAAAGGAGTGATAGTCTTAAAGTAAGAAAATGCCAAGAAGAAATGAAGATTTACTAGGGACTGAGCTTGACAGTATGGTAAAATGATTCCATAATTCAAACCAATAGGAGAACTGGTAAAAGCATAAAACTAGAGGCTATGACAGTAGATAATAATATAAAAAAAGACCTTGAGAAAAACAGGATTATATTCCAATGTGTCAATCACACTTTAATAGATATTTTAAATCACCACTAAGACTGAGATTTCTTTGTAAGTTTGGGGGGAAAATCCAATTAAAACACACAAGTTTATAGAGGGGGGAGATATAGATTTAAGTGTGGAATCAGAGAACTGGAGACCATTTAGACAAAAATCATTAATCCAACTAAAATTTATTGAGTGCTTGATATGTGTCAGACCCTATATGAGACACACAGGATACAACAAGGAACATATCAGGCAAAAAATCCTGGCCTCATGATGCGTACATTCTAATGGCTAAGAATAGCCATTTAAAATAAATCGTTAAAAAAAAAAAAAAAAAGGAGTAGGAGTGGGGGGAATTATATAAAGCCATGCAGTGCCTTCCCACTTCCCAAGGACACAACTACTTAGCATAGACTCAGGTTGCAATTTACATCTTCTAGGCCTATTCCAGAAATTTTTCCATATATGATAGCATCAATGAGAGGAAAAGGAAATTTTAATGAAAAACTTAAATAATAAGAAAAACCATCTTAATGTCTACTTACTGGATTATAGAACTGTCAACCAAAACAGAAGGAATTTAATCCAAACAGAGACTGCATCAAGTTTTAGAAAATACTTATGCTAAAGGCACTCTGTATGAGACTCTGAAGATGCACTTAATGAGCTAATAGATACTTTATCTTCTCTAATATCTGAAATTCCCGGAATACTTTTATTCAGAGGACTATTTAATATGAACTAGTGGTTACAGTTCATATCCTAGCACAAAATAACCTCTCAACATAATGCCACTATCTCAATTTGTACTGGTATTTTTTGGCTGACTCAAAAGAAAAGCTAGCAACTACATTAGCTAACAGGCTTAACTACATGCTTATCCCCAGTAGGTAAAGGAAAATGGTTAAGGTGCTAGGAGTTTGCACATAAAAGGCAGTATTAAGGTTAACATGCTTCTAATATTCTGCTTGTCACAAGGAATCTAACATCTAACACTAGCTCTTTCAAATGGCTAAATATCTATTTCATGTTTCTAGGCTATTAAGCAGATTAAAATAATAAGCAGAGTAATTTTATGTTCAATTAAAACTTAATGTCAGACTTCAAAGTTAAAAACAGAAATTGTAAAAGAGAAAGTTGATAGATTTGAAAATTCACCAAAGAAACTACCACATGATTATGAAAAAAATTCTTTCAATCTACAAATGTCTGCTATCTTTTTTAAATAATAATCATAATGGTTTGTAACTTTATTAAAAACAATTGAGAAGACAAAAATTAAGAGAAGGACTAGATACTTACACCACTGGGAGGGAATTGAGCATACTTTACATGAGGTGAAGCAATATCCTTTCTAGAGATGATCAGCGTTATTTACCATTCTGTAAATAAAGACAGAAAATCCAGAATTATTTGTTAATCAAGTATTGAATTAAAAATTTAATTATATAACTCAAGGATATGAACATTTAACATCAGTTAATCATGTCTTTAAAATTATTTTGAAATAAGACATTGGTTTAAAGCAAAATTTTAAAAATAGAAAAGTATTCTGTGTACAACACATCCAACAGCAACTTGGGCTTACTCCTCACGGGTGGCAGAATACTATGGCCTTCCTGTGACATTACACCCTAAACATTAAAAAAAATAAAAAATAAAAATAAAAATAGAAAAGTACTAGTGATAGCTTTCAAAATTATTCACTTGGAAAAAGTATTGAGCCTGGCACACATAGCTCAGTGGTTAAGTGTCGACCTATGAATCAGAAGGTCACAGTTCAATCCCCAGTCAGGGCATATGCCCAGTTGTGGGCTCGATCCCCAGTGTGGGGTGTGCTGGAGGCAGCCAATCAATGATTCTCTCTCATCATTGGTGTTTCTGCCTCTCCCTCTCCCTTCCTCTTTGAAATCAATAAAAACATGTTTTTTAGAAAAGGTAATGAAAATCAAACGCCTTTTCATCTGTTATCAGACACCATCCTAATATATATATGATAATGATATTCAAGGTAACTCTTTGATAATAACATCAGTGCATTTACGCAGAGTTCTTTAAACAAAATCAGACCACAGCATGATTGCAGCTAAAGGTCTTAACTGTGTGGTAGATTCTGGGGTCTCATTCCAAATATATTACTTATTTTACTGCTAGCCAAATGTTGAGTGACTTTATTTCTCTAAGTCTCAATTTCTTCATCAATCAAACAGGGATAACAGATAACTAATTCAACAAGCTACACAAAGTTAAAACATTTTCAAAATAGTGGTGATGAAGTACTTCACAAACTATTGAGTAGCAGGGGCTATTACCACCAATTTTAAAAACAATGAATACCTACAATGCATTTAGATTACAGAATATAGTGCACATTAATAATGGAAGGACTGAGTCTAGTACTTTCATTTTCTGATTAGCATTCTACTACTTTATTCTCTATTCAGACACTTTGACCCCTTTCAATTCAGACATAGATCTTAACACAAAATGAAACCTACTATTCATGGTTTAGGAGCTAAAGATCATGTATTACTGCCTGAACTTATTAGCAGTTTCAAACCACAATCTATAGAGACAAATATTTCCATTAACTCTAAGTTAAGATTATAAATTAGATGAAAGTTAAAAATGTTGATGTCAAAAACTCATACATTAAAATACACATTCAGCACTGAACTATATTAAGCAAGATCAAAATGTCTAACAGTGACTAATGATATATGCAAAATGTTCAGGGTAAAGTTAGAAACCTTTCACATTTTGGTATCTTAAATTGTGGCTTTAATGAAGTTCCTGTTGTACTTAATTTTCATGCTGACTTAAGAAATACCTGTCCTAAAAAAGCAGACACAAAGTACAAAGAACTCTACTTAAAATGTTGCTGATTGCATTTCCTAGACAAAACAGCAACACCAAGCCACAAAACTGATTACTGGTCAATACACAGTTTTCACTCTTGCTAATGAAGTAGCTAGGTAGGCTGGCATTGGCAAAAGGTCATCAGTAAGATATGATCCCAGCAATGTAGTAGCTTATTAAACTACTAGAGGCCCGGTGCACAAAAATTTGTGCACTGGCGGGGGGGGGGGGGTGTCCCTCAGCCCCACTTATGCCCACTCACAGTCTGGGACCCCTCGGGAGATAACGACCTGCTGGCTTAGTCCCGCTCCTGGGTGGCAGAGGGCAGGCCCAATCCCTAGGTGCAGCCCCTGGTCGGGCTCAGAGCAGGGCAGAATGGGGAGTTGGGGCGCCGCCCCCTGTCATGCACAGAGCAGGGCGGATTGGGAGGTTGCGATGCCACCCCCAGTCACGCTCAGGGTAGGGCCGACTGGGGGGTTGGGGCGCCCGCCCCCTGTCACACTCAAGGCAGGGTCGATGGGGAGGTTGCGGCGCCACCCCGTCATGCACAGAGCAGGGCCGATCAGGGGGTTGGGGCGCTGCCCCGTCACGCACAGAGCAGGGCCCATCAGGGGGGTTGGGGAGCTCCCCCCTGTCATGCAAAGAGTAGGGCCGATAGGGGAGTTGGGGCACCGCCCCCTGTCACACACAGAGCAGGGCGGATCAGGGGGTTGGGGCGCCGCCCCCTGTCACCCACAGAGCAGGGCCGATCTGGGGGTTGGGGCACTCCCCCCTGTCACACTCAGGGCAGGGCCGATGGGGAGGTTGCGGCTCCACCCCATCACACACAGAGCAGGGCCCATCAGGGGGTTGGGGAGCTCCCCCCTATCAGGCACAGAGCAGGGCCGATCAGGGGGTTGGGGCGCCTTACACCGTTTCACGAACAGAGCAGGGTGGATA